CTTTTCACAACTAGTCTTAAATAAATTTTCTAGTTAATAAGACAGCCTTATATATAGTAGTACTAATAAATTCACAGTTAGTTAAATATAAAGTGCAATTTATTTTCACCAAGTCAATATATCAAGAGAAAACTTCGCACATTTACGCTCGACCGGCTTCCACGACCTCTGCGCTAGCCAACGGCCACTTTTCTCCTAGTTCATATATTGAGGTACATCAAAAATACGATGGAGAGTTCAAACAGTAATAGTAGTGATGAAGAGCAAGTACAACCAAAGAGGTACAATTTGCCTATGCAAATGGGTCTTAAACAAAGTGGTGTCTGCCGTAAAACTCGAAAGAGATGGGAGCTTCGAATAGCAGAAAGCAAAAGTAAATCATATTACGTTTTTACATATTTTTTTTACAAATTCAATCATGTGCATTTTGTCAAAATTGAATTTGTTTCAAGAATCAAACATTCATTTAATTTGATATGTATTACTGATGAATTAATTTCAGTTTCTCTCAATTTCTTATTTAAAAACAAATCATTGCGAATTATTTAATCGATAATTAATAATAAAAAAACTGGAATTTCAGTAAGTTTTGTGCTAAATTTCAAGAAGAAAAGCGAGCGATATTTAGATAAAAATTATTATAGAATCTTTTCCTGCTCGATACGAAAGTTTAGCTTTGAATAAATAAAGTAAAAGAGACAAGACAATAAAAATATTAAACGAAAAATTATTTTAATAAATTATTGTAAAGTAATTTTGTTGTATTCAATTATACATAAATTAATAATTTGTCGAAAATGTACTTATATATAAATATTAATGAACATTAAATGAAACGAATGAGGTCGAGCGCGCGTGTTATCTCTAGTTTCGAAATAAATATTAAAATCTTTATACTTTGAAGGTGTCCTGGGAGAAAAAATAAAGCAGTGTTTTTTTGCATATACTCTCCTAAGCCTAGAGAATAATATACATAGCGTATATTTTATTATAATTTCAGCCTGCTTACATGGTTTAAAAATGGGAAAAATAATATATATATATATATATATATATATATTAGATTCGTGATTATTGTTTATAATAAGCCAAAAATTCAGTTCAAGTATGAAAAAACTTCTAAAAATACATTTGTTTCTCAACATTATAAGAATTACTTAACGTTAAGATTTATTTAATAAATATTATTCTCGACATTTAGAGATTCTAGTAAATATCCATTGAGAACAACACGATGCAATTATAGCAGCACCTTAATTATTCCGGGTTGGAGCACACGGAATCAATGCTCATACTTCTCTATGACCGGTCAATTAATATCTGGTACTTTACTTTTCTATCAATCCATGAATCCTAAATCATTCATCTTAGGCTTATCAAAAAACGTTTATAATAATGAACTTTTTATAATTTTTAATAGCTCACGACAATTCTTAAAATCTTTCAATACTTTTTAACTGCTTTTAATAGATTTCAATCATATTATATAAGCGTAAATATCGCCGAATAAGCGTCGATTTACTTTCATAATTATGGTATTATTACTTAATGATGCCTTTATAAATTGCTGTGATAGGATTCAAGGCAACAGCTTCAACACTACAAAGTCCTAAAAAATCTTTAAGCTCTTCGTCAGAACATGATCATCTTAGTCAAGAAGAAAGTAGTCGTATTTATGCAAAGAACGCTGATGAAATTAACCAGGTTACTGAAGAACAACTTTCAACAAACAGAAATAGTCCCCGACCTGACGAGTATGTAGCAGCTCCTTCTGAAGACGAAGACGGCGACGAGAATTGTAGTTTTCAGAATTGCTCTTTATATAATGATGAAATTCAGTCTGAAATGGACGAAAGTGAAAGTGATGATGACATTTTTACAAATCAGACAATAGACGTTTTTGATCAAACTATGTTTTATGAATCCAATTTAAAAGTACGCGATGTAATTACAATGATAACGGCACTATCACTAGATTTAAAACTATCAGATGTAGGAAAAATAAAATTAGGTAAATTCACAAAAGTTCTTGCTGGTAAAAAGTTTGATGATCTAAATCTCTCCAAACACATGATGAACAAATGTTTCTCATCGCAAGATGAACATGTTACTTACAATTTTTACTGCAGTAAATGTACGGCTGTGAAACTTTATTCTGTTAAAGCTAGTGAAAAATGTAGAAACAAAGAAATCGTTTGTCACAATTGCAGAGCCAAAATTAAAATAACATCAAGGTCATCAAATTACTTTTTACGCGTAGACCTAAAATATCAAATACGACTATTATTAACTGATCCTGTTATAATAGATGATATCTTAAGTAATGTACAAACTAGAAATCCCAATAGCCATTGGCCCAAAGGTGTAAATGCTGGGTCCATTCATACAAATATAATAGCTGATTCAAGTGATTTTGAGATTATGCTAACCGTTAATATGAATACAGATGGAGCACCACTAACTAAGAGCGGTAAAAGAGGATTTTGGCCTGTACAAATTATATTAAATGATTTATCTCCAAAACTCCGATTTCGAAATGTATTACAAAGTGGTCTGCTATTGACAGAAACGGAACCACGCAGTAATTTACTTGATATCTTTCTGAAGTGTATGTCAATGAAATGAATGAGTTGTATACTGAGGGCATAGCAATATCGTATAAAGGAAACGAAATCTTGTTTAAATTTTGTACCCACGCATGTCCCGTAGACTCCGTTTGTCGTCCTATCGTTCAGAACAGAATTCAATTTAATGGTTATTACGGTTGTAGCTGGGGATATCAGCTTGGAGAGTACATTACTAGCGTACGTGGTGTACGTTATCCTGTAAATCAAACTGAGATCGAAAGAACTAACGATAGTCACGAAAAAGACGTCCTATCAGTTTCTGAATCAGGCAAAGTAACTAACGGAGTGAAAGGTGCATCTGTTATGACACAATTACCTCATTTTGATATGGTATGGTCTTTTCCGTATGAGTATTTACATGCGTTATGCCTTGGAAGTGCTCTTCAAATTTGGAATGAGTGGAAAAATAGCGATTCGCAATTTAAATTAAGCAAGAAACATGTAGATTTTATTGAACAAAGGTTTTTGCACATAACGCCTATTCAAGAAATTCACAGACTGCCGAGAAGTGGTATAATCAAAGGATCTGCTAAACCTAAGGCCTCTGAAATCAAATCGTGGCTTTTGTATTTTAGTTTACCATGCTTACATAATGTTTTGCCTGAAGAAGCTTTAAAGCACTACAGCTTACTAGTAAATAGTGCTTTCACTGCACTAAAACCTGCGCAAACTGAGAGAGAACTTGAAAAATGTGATGATGACCTTTTAAGATTTGAAGTTGATTATGAGAAATATTATGGTAAAGAGAAAATGACATTTAACATACACATCCTTAGACATATGGTTAGTTCTATAAGAAAGACGGGATCCTTATGTTACAATTCAGCTTTTCCATTTGAAAGTTACATCTATACCTTGAAAACATATGTAAATGGTCCAAATGGTATGGATCGAAAAATTAGCAGAAAACATTTGCAGTATTTACTATTCAAGACAGGTAACACAGATACAATTTCAACGTCAGATAGAACTAAAATGTTCTGTTCAAATTTATTTAACCCAATTAAATTCAGCAAGTCTTTTCGTCACGGAGCGGATATTGTTTATTGCGGAAAAGGTCAGGTGAAGAATGTAGACCGATTTGGTAAATGTATGGTTTACAAGAGATGTATATACAAGAACACTGTTTATCACAGTGAGAAATATGCTAAAAGCAAGAAAACCAATGATTCTGTGATACTTCTACATTCAGGGGAATACGCAAAAATAATAAATATTATAGAATACAATGCCAAACCATTTATACAGCTACGAATTTTTAATATGTTTCCGGAATTGCCATTCGAAGACGTAGAACATATAAGAAAAATACAGTCTGAGCGCAGTAATAAAATTGTTCAACCAGTGAGTGATATTGAATGTAAAGTTTTATTGGTGAATGTCAGAAATGCGAGATACTTGTGCAAAATGCCCAATGATTTTGAAGTACAATAATTATTTTTCAGTGAAAATAATATCGTTTATACTTTTTAATCTATATTTTTATATCTATATATAATTCCAATACTGTCAATATGTTGAAATATATTTGAAGTAATCAAATTAATTGCGCTTACGATATACGTCTAATTACTTTAATGTTTACCGATACATTAGATTTAATTTAAAGCTAATAAAATAAATGTGATTAGATAGTTAGTTTCTTTAAACTTGTTAAAAAGTATTGGGATCTATTCAATTGAATATAACTGATCAGTGGGTTATATCAAAATGTATAAAAAGCTATTAACAAATATTGGATAAAATATGATTGAAGATATTGATGTTGACGCCTTTTTCGAACGCATTAAAATTTGTTAGATTAAATGTAATTGAATATTATGTTCTTTTGGAATTTATTCAAATATATTAGAAACTATAAAATAAAATATGATTGAATAGTGTGTTCTATCAAAAATGATTAAAATGCATTAAAAAATATTAGATAAAATGTGATTAAAAACATTCACGTTGGGACCTTTTTCAAATTTATTAAAAGTTGTTAGATTAAATGTGATTGAATATTATCTTCTTTTGGAATTCATTTAAATATATTAGAAATTATATAATAAAATATTATTAAATAGTGTGTTCTATAAAAAAGGATTAGATTGTATGAAAAAATATTAAATAAAATGTGATTAAGTTATTTGTCATTACATGTGCTATTGGAAGTTATTCAATATGATTGAAACTAATACGAGATTTTATGATTTGATGTGATTCCAATTAGATTTTATTAACGACGATTCAATTTTAATTCACATATTAATTAAAGATCAACAAAAATATTAAAACTGATTGGAAATTATTGAAATTTAATCAATTTTAATCAGAATCAATGGGCCATTTTTAGCAGGGTTAGCAATTGTAAATAGAACATTACAGTTTATAATGAATAACGATCAACCATTTGGTGGTAAAATAATGGTTTTAGGTGGCGATTTTAGACAATTGCTTCCGATTAAAGTCAATGGAACGCGCAGTGAAATACTAAATTTATCTATTAAAAACTCACAATTATGGACATTATTTTCATTATTTAATTTGAAAACTAACATGAGAGTTTTACCACATGAAATTGATTTTGCTAAATATTTGTTAGATGTTGGAAATGGAGCATTAAATGATCATGATAATAATATTAAGCTTCCTCAACAATGTATATTACCGCCAAATAAATGTATTGTTCAAAACATTTTCGGCAAGTTAATAGAAGAGAAAAAATTTGATAAAATTAGTCATTGTGCAATTTTATCTGCCAGAAATGCTGATGTAGATGAAATTAATGATAGAGTCACTAATTTGTTAGATAAAAGTACAGAGCATATTTACACGGGCATAGATAGTACTGAAAATTGTGATAATGGTGATATGGAAGAAGTACTTTTACCAGAATATCTCAACACATTGAACCCACCTAACCTCCCTCCTCATCGATTGCGTTTACGAAAATTTTGCATAGTGATGTTGATTAGAAATATTAGTCTTAGTGAAGGATTGTGTAATGGAACAAGATTACAAGTACTTGATTTTTCTAATCATTTATTAAAATGTAAAATATTGACAGGCGACAAGCGCAATAACATTGTATTTCTCAATCGAATTACGTTGTATTGTGAAAATCAATATCCATTCACGTTTAAATGACGACAGTTTCCAATTCGATTGGCTTTTGCTATAACTATTAATAAATCTCAAGGACAAACTTTGGATAAAATTGGTATTGATCTTCGAAGAGATGTTTTTAATCATGGTCAACTTTATGTTGCCTTATCTAGAGTGAGATCGTGGGATTCATTAAAAATTTATCTAGGTAATCAAAGACATGATTCCTTAGTTAAAAATTATGTTTATAAAGAATTGTATCATTAATATTTCAATATATTTTACGAATTTTTATTTTTATTATATACAAGTATATGTATATAATGTATTTTCATATGTCATTAGGTTTGAGCGCGCGAAGCGCGCTATGATGTTCTAGTAAACATTAAAGTAGATTGAGATTCATTCTACTTTAATGAATTTCAATTGTCATTTGTAGGATTCAGAAATAGACTCAAAGCGGATTGGATTTTCAATCCGGTTGAATGTTCTCGTTTTAGCAGGGAGCAGGAATAAAATGAGAAGAATAAAAAACAGTTGCTCGGTAGAGCGTACGGAAGTTGACTGCGTATCTAACTTCAGAGAGCCTATTGTTCTAAAAAGTGAACCATCGAAACTCTTCATTGCCGGCATCATTTCCGGTTTCCTTTTTTTCGGACAACGTGGCAAAGTGAGCATCGTGCATAATGTAATCCTGAGACAAATTTAGTTAAAAAACAGGCATACGCACTGAGATTACCAATTTACAATAATAATTGGTTATTATTTTTTTTTTTTTATTATTTTGGAATATCAGAATATCTACATTTTGGAAAATTGTTGGAGTGATACACGTGGCATCACTTACTCTATTAAAAACTTTTGAGGTAAATGGCCTGAAATTTTTATATAACATTGTAATATTAATTTTTATTTGATTATTCATTATTTTACAACTATTAAAATTATAACTCCAAATTTATTTCTACTATTTTTGTTACTAATAAATTTGGAGTTATAGTTAACATTTAATTAATTATCTTCTCTAAGCAACCGATTTTTGTTAACAATAAAATATTTACAATTGTATTTAATTATATTATATTAATCTAATTTTCTTGATATTAAATTTGGAGTAAAGCTAAACATTTATCTCTTTTTTTTTTTTACCTTACAATTTTAAAAATACCATTTTCAGCTATTACTCCAAATTTATTTATAATTCAATACCAAATACTACACTACTACCCTATTTTAATTAAATAATAATAAATAATTTATTTTATATAAAAAAAAATATATATATTAGTTTGAAATGTCATTCAAGGAGCACCCAATTTATGAAATTCAATATAGAAGTAAAAAACCAAAAATAATTATTATAACGATCTGCTCATTTATAAAAGGTTCTTGACAATATATAAATTGTCAGCTCGTTGAAAAATTACCTTTACTTTTTATTATTTTGTTTCAGATCACTAATCTAATCCTATTCAACGAGCTGCCAATTTATTATGTTTCAAGAACTTTTCATATCTCTCAATTTTTATTTATATAACTTCAGTAAAATAACTAGATTATCTGATATTTATTCTAAAGTTATTCAAAATATATTACTTTAGAACAAAAATCAGATATCATAATTATTGTATTGAATTTATATAAACTGAAATTAAAAGATATGAAAGGTTCTTGAAAAACTATAAATTGACAGTTCATTGAAAAGGATTAGATTAGTGATTTAAAACAAAATAATAATAAGTAAAGGTAATTTTTCAACGAGCTGCTAATTTGTTATTTGTCAAGAACCTTTCATGTCTCTTAATTTCAGTTTATATAAATTCACTACACTAATTATGATATCTGATTTTTGTACTAAAGTTATATATATTGAATAATTTTAGAACAAAAATCAGATATCATAATTATTGTATTGAATTTTGCAACGGTAGTCGATTCAATTAATCGAACCGTTCGCGATTCTGAATTTCGCGCGTTAGTTCTAAGTATTGAGAGAGAGAGGGGGCGCGCGATCTTTCAAATTAGCAGTTACGTCTCAGCTGTTGATACGAGAGGATATCGCCGGATTTTTATTTGCAAAGTTTTTCTCGCCGAGTAATAGTTTTTCTGGAACAATCTCGTGCGTGAGTGTGATAGCGATATTACAGTAAGTACGGGGATTCGGAGGCAGTTTGCAGCTGATAAGCAGAGTGAGGCAGCGCAGCCAATAATTCAGAGGACAGAGGCAGTTGACATTTTGCTGACATCAACAATTACGGCTGATCACCGTAATTGCACCGCAGGGTAGGTGCACCTCCCTTTATTATCGCGTGTCAAAATATATTTATTATTTTGTTTAGCCGCGTTAGCGTTGATAATTTTGTATTCGCGCCGAGCATTAGATCGCGCCAATTTTCGTATCTTCTCTCTCTCTCTCTTTCTCACCGAAAGTTAATTAAATGTAAATCCTGTTCGCGTGCGTCAGTCTTTCGGCCCGACAAAGACTGTATAGATTTTTTATGAATAAACTTTGTCAAACTTATTCGCCGATTTCGTCATATGATTTTCCTAATAGTTTAAGAAATTGAAATAGGCTTAGGTGTTAATCCTATTACGTCTAGGGGATTAAGCTGAGAAGGAGTAAAGTCGCTCACACTTCAAACTCATCGTGTGTCACAAGGCACGTGACTTAAGGTGAGTTCAACTCTGCTTGATCGAAGACAACCAAGTTAAGTCAGCTGACGTTAAGGCGAATACACGTACTAACATACGTGTTAACGGAGCGGCGGTTTGCTCTGCATCGTGGGAGTTTGCTCTTATATAAATTTCCCATTTTTGCAGGATAATCCCCCCGTTACAATTTATATAAACTGAAATTAAGAGATATAAAAGGTTCTTTTAAAATTTCAACAAGCTACAAATTTATAATTTTTCAAGAACCTTTCATATCTCTTAATTTCTATTTATATAACTTCAGTACAATAATTAGATTATTTGATTTTTGTTCTAAAGTTATTCAATATATATAACTGTAGTACAAAAATCAGATAATCTAATTATTTTACTGAAGTTATATAAATAGAAATTAAGACATATAAAAAGTTCTTGAAAAATAATAAATTAGCAGCTCGTTGAAAAATTACCTTTACTTTTTATTATTTTGTTTCAGAACACTAATCTAATCCTATTCAACGAGCTGCCAATTTATTATGTTTCAAGAACCTTTTATATCTCTTAATTTCAGCTTATATAAATTCACTACACTAATTATGATATCTGATTTTTGTACTAAAGTTATATATATTGAATAACTTTAGAACAAAAATCAAATATCATAATTATTGTATTGAATTTATATAAACTGACTTAACAGATTATAACGAACGGCATGTAAGTTCGTTATGTCTCTCTCTCTCCAGGAGGCCATCAAATAATAATTATCTATAATAATTAAGTATCATGTAAACATGTTTAAGTAATTACAGCGTGGACGTCAGCGAACGGGTAAGTGACGCGACTATCGACCGATCATCGATATCGACTCGCGGCGCGGACCTCGCTGAAAGGCGGCCCCCTTCGAGGAGGGAGAGAGAGGGTAACAAAAAGTAAGTCTGCTTCCGACCGGCAACGTGGAAGCAACCGGCAACGCGAGCTCGCGAATTACTGGAGAGAGCAATTAAGTTAAGCAGCCATACACGTGACAACCGCCAACGCTGTTCCTGAAGAGTCTTGTGAGCACCCGGTGGTAGCGCCAGTCTGAAAAAGCGTGAACGCAGGAAGCGATAACGCGAATACCCAATCCTTTATAAGCGAGCGCGCCGTGAGTTACTCACGAGTTAACCATAGAGCGACTCGTCCGTTTCTGCACTGTAAGTACCAGTTTGTTAACTTGGCTTCTCTCTCTCTATGGCTCTCTCCTCCTGCGTTGCTTAAACTGTGTATCCTCATCGCTACTTTTCCGCATAGTTGATTATTTCTTGCCTGTTTTCGTTCGGCCTACGAATAGTATTCCGTTACACGCGTACTGTCGCTTCGCCCGGTTTACAACGAGCAAGTGCGGTTGCCGTTTTCATCTCAGTCAAGTTACCGAGACATTTCGACCGGCTAAAGAGCCGACACGAGCAAGCGACGTTACTTTCTCGTTCGAACGGTGTGCGCCGGTTAGCCGTCGCCATGGTGCCTAACCGCTCTTAACATGGCGTGCGCGCGCAAGTCCTCGCTGCGTAGCGTGTGCGCAGCTCGTCGGCTGCACCGAAATTCGACGCGAGACCGTCCACGCTGCCGCTTATACTGCGTGCGAATTACGCTACCGTTTGTTGGTTAAATAAATGAATTGAACTCATCCCTTTGCTGTCTATCATTTTCTTCGATCCCTAGTCGTACATGCGATTACGCGCTTTAGCTTCTCTTTGGCTGTCGCGCCTCGTCACACGAAAGCTTACGACACTCTCCGCGGGCCAAGTTTTCGACTCGAGAAGGAGGCAACTGAGCTGCTGGACCCAGGACGTTCGGTGCAGGAGTGCCGATCTGCTCTGGAGAGCAACCTAATTTATTTCCCGCGACTTGATATTATATAACTGTTCCTGCCCAGGCGGAGCTGAGCAGAAACCCCGTTATAAGATATAAGAGGTTCTTGAAAAATTATAAATTAACAGCTCGTTGAATAGGATTAGATTAGTGATTTAAAACAAAATAATAATAAGTAAATTAAAGTAATTTTTCAACGAGCTGCTAATTTATTATTTGTCAAGAACCTTTCATGTCTCTTAATTTCAGTTTATATAAATTCACTACACTAATTATGATATCTGATTTTTGTACTACCCCGCTTAAAATTTCCATTTGAATTTTATATGAAATTTCATATAAAATATCATATGAAATTTATATCACAGTGATATGAAATTTATATAAAAATTATATGATATTCATGTAAAAATCATATGAAATTCACATAACATTTTCGGACAAATTTTGTATGTTTTTTATGTGAATATGATATGAAATCCATATGATATTCACATGAATGTTATGTGAAATTCATATGAATTTTATATCAATTT